AGAGCGGTCTCTCTCTCTCGTCTCCGATATTGCAGTAGATATTTGATCGCCGAGTTATTCAATTGTACGTATATCGGCGACGGAACTGAGCACAGAAAGAGACTAAAAATACGGAATAAATATTATGTAAATGTGTAATCATGTATATTTCGATAAGAGCTTATTTCTGCGGAAGATAACTAGAAAAACTTTAAAGTTCCACTACTGATACGCAAACGTACGTTCTAATCCGATACTCGTGTATGTGTGTATATACATGTGTATGTGTGTGCGTGAACTCGATTTAATAACCGTCGACGGACAGACCCGACGAAGGCAACGACTACGTCGCGCCGACAATCGCGGGCAATAGCGTGACGCGAGGAAATCGCGATCCAGAAAGGTTTCCGCGACGCGGCTCGACGTTACGACTCTCGACTTGCAAGCGACAGATGCTTCGAGATTTAAGATATAAAGCGATAAAATGCATTATTTTTGCCGATGCATCGGAAGATTTTCTGAAGGACGCGACAACCGAACGGATTACAAATAGCAAGGATTCAATTTACTCGGAATAATTGTAATTTTACTTGTTCGAGGCTTAATGTCCCGTTGGCACGTAATGCGGACGATCAGTTACATGCGATTAAAATCTCGCAGTCTCATAATTGAATAAAATGAAAGTGAATATGTCAGAATGTCAGATAACGGTTCGCATTTTAAAGCGGAGCCAAGGTAAACCTGGCTCTAATCATATTTGTGTAAGAGTCTAAATAAGCCTTAACGGCATTCTCTAGCGTTTTATGACTAGATTATTCATGCTTACCATCGATATTACGGTGAAGCGTTAATATTTATGTAAAAAATTGTAATGTAAAAGAATCTTTATACATATACATATATATATACGTGGTAAAAAAAAAAAACAGGTAAAAAACAATTCCAACGAATGTAGAAAATAATGACGCTAGTAATTTAAAATTTAATCCTGTCATTCGAAAGATAATAAAAGGTAAATAAAGTTAATAAATATTCCGTACTCGAAATACTCGCCAGTACATTTCCACGTGAGGAAAATTATTGCCGTTTAAGGAAAGAAAGTAGCCGTTTATCTCTCAAGTAATAGAGCAAAAAGAGAACTAAATAGCGCGATAAAAGCGAAAACAATTCGTGTTACCGATAACAGAGATCTCCTAAGACAGTTACGTCCATTTCGGCATCGCGACGTAGGAATGTCTTCGTCATTCGGCGAGCGTAGCACTTCGCAATTTCTAGGTTATGTCGAATCGATCCACTCGCAGGAAGATCCTATCGAGTCAGCTGGTCATTTCGCAAAGAGCGTACGTTTCGCGGCGATGCCATATGCTCCCTGCATTTATCACACTTTTTTGCCCGTTTGTGAACAAACGTCAAAATCCCTTTCGCGCGACGAGGGATATTCGTGTTTACTCCAAATCCCTTTCCCTTATTCCGATTCCGAAAGGGATAGGTAAACATAGAGTTTCCGCGAATTCGCGGAATTGCAAAATAACATACGCTACGCGAAATATGACGCGAAAAACTGCAACAATATCCGCTTCCCCTTTCCGGATAATGCGTAACGCGCGACGTCACGACGACGTTTCGAACGGACCGAGTTGCTCGCGGACGAGACTCGAAAATAAGACGCACATCGACGGGTCGGGGAATGCCAACCACCCGGACCAGTCGGTCGCGCGCGCACGTCTATCGCCGCGACGACGACGACGACGGATTTCATGCGAATTTTGGAGGTTAGGTTAGGTCGCCCGCGCGACAGATGTTTCCAGCAAGGCTCTTATTCCGCGATTGTATTGTACGCGCGTATAGAGAAGAGCCATTCAATCGACAGGACGGAGCCTGGCACGGGGGAAAGTGCGGACCGACAAAGTGCAGACACCGATAGACTGCTAGCCACGCAGACGTATACCGGGGAAGGGAGGGAGAGAGAGAGAGAGAGAAAGAGAGAGCGAATGTACGAGGGCGAGAGCAGATGGATAGTGATGGGAGATAGAGAAAGGAGAGGAGATACACCGGCCAGGTCGTTATCGATACGCGAAAACTTCGCGCGAGATATATCAGCGTGTATAATTCCACTTCATCGTGGAATATACCCAATGATGAGCAAGTTTTCGTCTCGAGAGAGAGAGAGAAAAGAGAAGTGACACGAAGTGATACCTATATGAAACGCGAGAGAAAGAGAAAGAGAGATAAGATATTACGGATAAATTGTTATCGTAAAGTTTTGAAGATTAGAGCACGCGGACTACGTTGTTGAAGAAGATATCCTGGAGGGATATCTCTTAACTTGTTTACACTTTTTCGTACGCCTCGATGTACGCGACCTGACGCGTACATGCATTTCCGCTCACGGCGATGGTAGAGTCCACGTATGGTTCGCTCGCTCGCTCATCATCTCGTCGCCGTAGCGTGAACGTACGAGGAGACACGCACACCGAACCTGACGTCTCCTCCGTCGTCCTGTCACGAAACATCGTTGTCGGGAAAGCTCGGAAAGTGTCATTCCCGACAACGATTTTCGTCGCGAGACTCAAAAGCAGACGAGAAGAGCGAAATGCAATGCGAGCGACCGGAAATCGAGTCAAAAATGCCATAAGAAAAAAATCCCATGCTGCGAGAGGAAAAGGCGAGAGAGGACAAGCGAGATGCGACGCAAGCACAGAGATAACAGGAGAAACTCACCTCTCGCTTCTTGGCCAGTGTCTCTCTCTTCAGGGACGGGCCCGACGATCGCGTAGCCGCATGTTCCGCTTATATCCACGGGCTGTCTGTACCCCTGTCCGGTTTGTCGGCCCCCTCGTCAGCGACACACAGCCATCTTGCGTAGCGGCTTGCCTGGCTCGTCGCGCGGACGCCTTCGGTGCGGTGGCCTCCGGCGAGAGCGACTGAGAGGAGCGACGACGATGACGGCGGGATGCGCGCCGCGGAGGGTGCGGGAACGGGAGCCGCCGCTGAGCGAGACGACGACCGCGCCGCCCGATGACGACGCGCGACAATAGGACGGAGCGAGACGGCGACGACGGCGACGAGACGCGGCCCCGCCGACCAAGTGTGTATGTGTGTGTGTCGCACCAACACGCGCGCACACCACCACTGGGCCAATACACAACGCCGCTCCTCTCCTCTACCACTGCGCGAACCAACACCGAAGTACGGTCATCGAAGCACCGTCGCTATTACTGTTACCGTTTACTACTACCATCAACACCAGAACTATCACGTCTGTATCGTCGTCGCCGTCGCCGTCGTCGTCGTCGTCACCGCTGCTACTACAGACTACTATCGCCACCGACCTACTACACGCACCGCTGCACTACTTTCCTTAAACTTTTCGCCACTCTACCGCACGATCCCGAATTATTTTCGTCGTGTACATGTTTCACGAGCGGTGCCGTTCACGCGCGTGTCGCCAATGTTCGTTTCGTACGTTGCTGTATTCACGATACGTTGCGGCGATACGTCGTTCTATTTTCGAGGCGGCGCGAGCTATCTCGGCAGACTTTTACGATCGTGTATGTGTATCCTCGCTTCTATCTGTCTCTGTCCTTCTCGCTCTCTTCTTCCTCCTCCCTCTTGTTGTTGGTGTGCTATTGCCGCGATGCGGTTACTAGTATCGTCGATCCGTTGCGAACCGCGCTCCACCACACACTGCCATGCGCGACCGCGTTCAGACTCAACCGCCGCGTGACGGAAAGCGTTCGGTAATCTTCGCCGCCGCTCGGCTCGCCGAGCCCAGTGCCGGTCAAACGTCAAAAACAGCTGGCGACTTTAGCACCCCGGCCGCGATTAAATTGCGGCCGCGTCGTTTATGAAATTAAGAAATGACTTTTCATGATTTTTTTTACGAACGCATCGAGAACGCATAGAACAATTTTTCCCCCATCGTGCGATAAATCTTTCCTTCGTTGAGCCCCTTGGCGACGATAAACTAACCTGATTCTCTAGCAATGTTTACCAAAATTTGTCTCGTGCGTAAACAGAATTTTTTTTACGACGAAATTGTACATATCCATTGCATTGGTAGGTTTAATTCTATGCAACTAGTATGTATTTAAATAGATCGATAAATTTTGTTTTAGAGATAAAGTTGAGGTTCTTGAATTTACGAGTACAAGCCATATACAAAATTTTCACATATTCTATCAAGATAATTTTAATTTATCTCATCTTTATACATATGTTCTCTTAGCCGCGATAGATATAAAGCACATTAAAAGATAATAAAGAGAAGAGAATAAAAAGAGAAACTTGCGGAAAATTACTCTGCGCATTCGTATATTATCTATTATCACTTTAGTGATTCGCGTTTTATCTTTTATCGCTATTTTTCAGTTTTGAGCATTTTAAAAATTAAAAATTCTTTGCTTTATATTTTCTTGAACAAGAAAAAATTGCACGACGATAATAAATTATTTCTTGACAGTACAATTCGAAAATTAAGCTTCTATCTTATAAAAGCATGGCGTTAAATAAATAAAAAATATTTGATTTATAGAAACCATGGATTTTACCTCGATATTCGCGCATGTACAGTTTGTTCATCAATGTGGCCGATTCTTCGTAACGTTAGCTTCCACCACATCGTTATATGGAGCACGATCGTAACAGTTTCCACCGTCGGTGATTTCTCATTCTCCTTTCGCGTTGCACCGAACTGTTTCCCTACGAAAAAATACGAAAACAATGGATTTTACACTGAGGTTAAACTGGCGATTTATAATCGCGCTTTGTAAGATCGGAGCGAAGACGAGTAAAATTTTAAGCGTCCTATAAGCACTTTCACAAGATTGCGACAGATTTGCAAACGCGCCATAGTAAAAGCACAACTTAAATAATAAAATGCTCCGGGAAATAACTGCGTGTCTCTCGATTCTGCCAGGCCGCAAAAATATGTTTAAGCTAAATATAACAGACACGTATATTTTTTTAACTCTGCTCTGATGACGCGATTTACAATAATGCGAAAAATGACGCTAGTCTCTCTTGAATTTCTTTCGTAAAAAACTTTTTATTATGTAACAAATGATCAATTAATAGGAATCGAAAAATTCTATATACCCGTTTCGATTTCTATAAAAAACAAAATAAAGAAGGTATGTACATATGTATTGTGCCACACATGCAATAAATTAATGAATAAATATCTAAATGTTACACATAAAAATTTAAAAACGTACCGAATATTAATAAATCTTGTATAATACATATTTTTACTAGATAGATATTTTTGTTATATAATTTGTTATTTATATATAATATAGAATATCTCAAAACCACCAGATATTCTTTCAATGAAAGATTCTCTTTAGCTAATTTAGAGCCAATTCTTCTTTAATGAAAATATCGGGCCATTAATAATTTCCGAATTATACGCGATTGAGAGAAAAAGGAAAATTTGTGCGAATTAAACTTCAAAGAACCAGATGGACAAAAAACTGCATTTTTTTGTTAATTTTATTTGGGATTTAACAAGAGAGAGGAAAATTTTGGTACAAAATTTAGTTACAAAGTTATATAATATTGGAAAGTTGCAACAAGAAATAATCTTTCTCGATTTCTTTCTTAAGGAAAAATCGACTCTAAATGAGTTAAATAATTTTTCATTAAAAAAACATCGGACGATTTTAGGACATTCTATGACAAGAATTACTTAAAAAAAAAGTATTTAATTTCTCTATAATTACAATCGGGATATATGTTTGAGAGAATATATATGAAACTTCTTTTCGGCACCGACATAGTTTTGCATCTTAATTACGCGCATATTTGCCGCCGCGTTACGCGCAGCAAGAAATGATAATATAATAAGAAATCTTGAATCACACGTACACAACTCGCGCGTTCGTCGCGGAATATCTTCCCGTCCTGCGTGAGCCAAGTGAAATCGGATCTTCGAGAGAACGCGATTCGCGTCAGTGCCAATATAAAGACAGCCGGCGCGAAATACTTCTAATTCGGTACATGTAAAACCATGCTGTGTACTTTCAGCTCCACCCACGAATATAATTTTAGGCGATAAACAAAAGCCATTTTTTTGAACAATTATTCGGCCACGATAGCGATTTTCAATCAAATTCGATGTCGGAAAACTCGACGCTACAAATTGAAAAGTGTCCATATATCAAGCTACAGAGATGATATTTTAGGCAAATATATTTTCATTTCATTGCACGATTTCAACGCATCAAATAAAAGAGACAAGAATAAAATATGAGTTAGACTCTCCAAAACTTCTGTCTTTTCCAATTTTTTTATAGGAAATAAATTTATAGAAGGGTATGAAGATTGTTTCTTCTCCATAGGTCTCAAGGAGCCAGCAATCATTGTGAGAAAGTTACTTTATACTTGCGTGAGTCAGGGCTTTCTTACAACTAACTCTAAACATTAATAGATAATGACTTAAATAAAATAATAAATAATGACATTAATTAATATGACTTATAACATATAGTTTATTTCTAAATGGTTTACTATCATATCGTAATTGCTTTTAACAGTTGGAAATAATAAAGTTTCACCGAATTCAATTTGAATGCGATAAGCCAGAATTTCATTTTAGGTGCGTTTTTTTTTTTTGTTTATTTTTGAACATCGTATTTACTGTTGACTTAAGAAACTTCTCATGCAGTGACATTCTTCACTTCAAACTTTCATTGTTGATTTTTATCCTTCTTTCCCCCCTCTTCAAACTCTTAAAACAAAAATCTCCTACGTGAATTTCAAATATTTTTCATCAATCAACGCGCGCGCGCACTTAATGACATTTAACGTGAGATATCGTGATCTCATATTTGTTCTTTATTTTTTCCGCGAAAGATTTTGTGACATAAGAAGTTTCATAATTACAATAACAATATTTAACTGTTTCCACTGTTATTAGATTTTATAGGCATTTTTATCAATAAAGATTTATCAGCCATTTATATGATCGTCGTGCAACGATATTAGTCACGATGCGAGTGATTCCTTTGAGTTGAAAAAAGGCGTTATTATATACAGGTGCAACCGCTGTCATCTCGTTCGATCATCGTCGAAATTAGCCCACAAACTCATCGTTGCGCATTCGTCTCGTAACTTTCGATCGCGATTAGACAATTCTATTCCGCCAGCAGTAATTACGCGATACGACATATACGCTAAGATTTTCCGCGTGTCACTGGGTCACCGTACTGGGTGTCCTACGCGCGGGGACGTGAATACAGATCACTCTCTAAATATCAGAGTGCTGGCAGAGTTGCATACAGCGACCGCAGTTCCCAAAGTGCAGTCAGGAACGTAGCGACTTGTACCAATATCGGCGAACGAACAGGCTCGAAATCGTGCGATTTCGCCCGATAAATCCGGCATATCGCTTAAACTGTAACGATTTATCGTTTATAGCCGTGAAAAATCCGAGAGTCGTTATTTCCACTCTTTGGCGCGGATAATCGAGAGCGATTTGCTTTCGACGAAAAATTCTCACCAGCAAATTTACAAATCGCTGATGCACACGCTGATCGCGAAAAACACGACTTGATCCCTCTCCTCTGTGTGTTCCTACTTTCTTACCTTACTCTCTCTCTCTCTCTCTCTCGTTTTTCTCCTCTCGCTTATTCCTCATCTTACATTCTCTTTCTCTCTTTCTCTCTCGCACTCTTGTAACACGAAACGAGTTTCCAACGATTCAATGCCTTGGTCTCGCAAATGTGAAAGTACATTACTGCAGGCTCTGAAAGTCGTTTTGCTCGAAGGTTTACCTTTCAAATGGCCCTGGACTGTTCATTAAGAAAAGAAGTTCGAGTGAGGACGATGAAAAATCGGAAAAAGAAAAAAAGAGAAAAAAAGAAGCGGACTAAAAAAGAAGAATAAAGTTTTTCATGGTCGGTAAATCGTATAATCCTATAAAGGTATAAAGCAATAAAAGCATTAACAATGATTACGTTTACACGTCACCCCTAATCGGGTTTTATAACATCCGTAGTTCTAAGACTGAAACTATATAAAAATATATATCAACTATATAAACTATATGTAAGCTCATTCATTTATCAATCTCGCCTATAGCGATGCGTTCGAGTCTAAATCTAAATCTCTATACATATATTGTAGTCTGGAATTTAAATTTAACAACGAACTGTTTCAATAACGATGATAACAAATGTCAATACGAATATGAAAATATACTTCGCGTTTTTCTGACGCGCGACAAGTGATCGCGAGCGAATAATCTACCCCGGCGAATAGTATACGTTAAGGGGGAATACCCGTTTGAAATCTCGAAAAATGAGTACATTTTCTAGATTTTTTGCAGCGCAACGACTTAATAAAAATTTTTAATTTTTTTAAGACATTAATACAATATTATTAACTACCTAAACAAAAATTTTCAGTTAAAAAAAAAATTGCTTTTGAAAGTTATAAGAATATTTGCAGAGCTCCTCCAAAGTTTAGGTGGCTGCACAATGTGCATAAAAAACGTTCGTAGATCATATCTGAAAAAAAAATCCAAGTGTTTTCTTATTAAACATTGTAATAGCTATCTACTATCAAAGCGTTTTTTCAAAATTTCAAAACATAAAAAAATGGCATGTTGAAAAAAGTTTCGGTTTTTTTAAAAAAAAGTCCATCATTTTTTTTATAACAAAAAGATGGGAAATCGGATTTAAAAAAGGCTCCGTTGGCAGATGCGGAATCTTATTAAAAACTCGCATATAAAATTTGAAATCAATCCACATTCTTCACTTCAAACTTTCATTGTTGATTTTTATCCTTCTTTCCCCCCTCTTCAAACTCTTAAAACAAAAATCTCCTACGTGAATTTCAAATATTTTTCATCAATCAACGCGCGCGCGCACTTAATGACATTTAACGTGAGATATCGTGATCTCATATTTGTTCTTTATTTTTTCCGCGAAAGATTTTGTGACATAAGAAGTTTCATAATTACAATAACAATATTTAACTGTTTCCACTGTTATTAGATTTTATAGGCATTTTTATCAATAAAGATTTATCAGCCATTTATATGATCGTCGTGCAACGATATTAGTCACGATGCGAGTGATTCCTTTGAGTTGAAAAAAGGCGTTATTATATACAGGTGCAACCGCTGTCATCTCGTTCGATCATCGTCGAAATTAGCCCACAAACTCATCGTTGCGCATTCGTCTCGTAACTTTCGATCGCGATTAGACAATTCTATTCCGCCAGCAGTAATTACGCGATACGACATATACGCTAAGATTTTCCGCGTGTCACTGGGTCACCGTACTGGGTGTCCTACGCGCGGGGACGTGAATAC